CCCCCCCGCCGATGCCCCCTCCCCTCCCCAGTCATCCGTCCGCCCCGCAACGTTGCATTACCCTGGGCTCTCCAGACATTGACTTTTGTCCTGTGCACACTTCCAGCCTCGGCGGTTTCCGCGCTGGGTGGCTGCTCCCTCGCCGACCAGGAGAACCGCAGCAACAAGTACAAGAAGAACTGCGACACTGCCAAGGCCATTTGCGGGTCCACCTGCACTCGTCTGGTGTATGACATGAACAACTGCGTCTCCTCGGCCAGCTGCATCACCGCCATGTCCACGCATATGTTGGGCTGTCGTCTGGCTGACCCGAAGTCCCACGGCGCCAACATCGAGGTTGGTAAGGGGTCCTACAACTGCAACTCCGCCGGGTCGCTCTTCAACCAGCCGGCCGCCCTGGCCACCGGTGCCCTGGCCGTCCTCCTTGCCCTTGTCTCCTCCTATGCTCTGTAAAGGGGAGGATGCTTGTTTTTTTTTTCCCCTCTCTCTCGCTCTCACATCGTGTCCCTCCTTTGGTGGCAGGGGAATACACCTTTTGCCGCGTCACACATGTCCCCTGTGCTTTGAAGGGAGAGGGAGCGCATTTCGTGAAATGCGCTGTCTGCACATGGGGGGGGGGGGGGGGAACGAGGGGCGGTCGAGCCCCAGGCGTGGGGCATGAGCAGGAGGCCTCACGCACCTGGGCGATGTTCAGAAAGGCCTGGGCATGTCCTGCGCCTTGTGGTGGAGGCGAAGAAAAGCCCCCCCCCCCCTCCCCAAACAACAACCTGTTGTCCCAGAGAATGCGTGGGGGGTATCGGGCCTCCGGCACTGTGTTTGGCAGGGAGGGCGACCGAAGGAGGCAAGTCGGGGGACCTACCCCGAGGTGCGAACAACGAAGGGAGGTGCCTCCGGCACCCGGGGCTGTCCCAGGGCGGCGAAACTCGGAAAGCTTGACTGGCGATTTAAATCACGCCGTGGTTCCCGGCGTGTAGCAGGGTTCACACGGGTTAAGCCTAAGTCAAGTGAGTGAGGCTTGACGAAGGGCACCAGTGTGATCTGCCACCCGGTTAGTAACCTCTTGGCATGAAGGAGGGGACATACCAACCAGCGGTTCACGGTCGTCTGTTACCAGATGAGTCAGTAACTCGGCTTGAGACGAGTTAGTGGCAAGCGAAAATAGAAAGGAACTCGGATGTTAAAAAGGGTTCGAGAGGAAGCCTTAGAACAGGTGTTCGTCGGCCTAACTGGTGCTTCGGCTATACTTCCGTATACTCTTCGACACACAGCTGCTAAGGCTTTCGCTCTCAGGAGGCTCTCAACGAGAGTCCCCCTTTTTGACCTTTGGGCTCGGTCAGGGGTTGGAACTGAGAACCCCGCGGCTGGGCCCGCCCACCCGCGTATCTCCGTCCTCGGTCGAGCGTTTATGCCGCTC